AATGTACTACAGTAATAGCTTTCTCAACTGGAAAAACTGATAATCCCGATTCAGCTGGGATTGAAAATAACCAGATTCCGTTTTTCAACAAGTAATCTTGTCTTGAGTCACGAAAAAATACAGCTTTATTGATAAAAGTCGGCGATAGGAGTTTGGTAAATCAAAGAAGAGTATCAATAGTAATATTTGGTAAAGGAGAATCATAAAATAGGTATAAAATAATCTGATAGATTTCTGAAGTGTCCATGAAGTGTGAAATAACCGGCTGTGCCCACTTGTCAGGATTATTCGGCTAGTGCCAATAAAGATAGGTTTGGTGATTGTATTTGAAGGCTCGAGAAAAAATTTTTCGACCCTTGAATAACTGGTGGTGAGTCGTTTGATTATTTTCTATATTGGTTTTTCATATTTCACTTTTGAATTGGAGAAACGGTTCAGGTTCGAAAAATTCAATTTTTAGTCGAATCATCACCTGTCTGTTTGTCAGTCCGTCCGCACCTTTATCATTCCGACAGTCAACCCCTCCTTGAAATGTTTTGTTGACGTTATTTTTTCAAAAAATAAGGTGAATTTTCATTTTATCACAAAATATTCATTTAATCATCAAATTCTATTTGTTTTTTTTGACGTACTCCCCCTCAAATATAATACACGTGTGCCAGCGTTTTTCCAATCCTCGAAGCAGCACTTTTTGTAGTCTAATCAACAAACAACAAAAACATGAAAAATGGAGATGAAGTTCCTAAAAATATGAGCGATAGCTCATTCGATTCGGAATCACCTCTAGAAAAATGTTTTCGAAGGATTCTGGTGCAGGTAAAAAATTGCAATTGTTATGTTATTTAGTTTTTCGTTAATAACTCAAAAAATATTAATATTCAAGCAATTTTGAAAAAAGCTCGTCAAAGAGGAGGAAATATCTGATAAAAAAGTCCCGACTCCTGAAACTCTATCTTCATTATTAATAATTTTAATTTGACGTTGAAAATAGGGTTCCGCGCGGCTGTTACGGCATGACCGCGCTGCCGCTAAAGAGAGTTTATCAAAAGAAATAATTTTTTTTATAACATGAAATGTCATTTTAAAAATATGAAAAAAAATCTAGTATCTTCTTATCACTTGAATGAATCAAGTCCCGTGGAAAAAAAAGTTTTATCA